AATTAGGGCTTAATTAGGGTAGGATTAGAGCTAGGTTTAGTATTAAGGCTGAGCCTAGGTTTATGGCTAGGGTTATGGTTATGGTTATCGTTAGGTATGATGTTATAGATAACTTTAGAACTAGGGTGAGGGTTAAAATTAGGGTTAGGTTTATGGTTAGGGTTAGGTTTAGGATTAAGGCTAAGATTAGCCTAGTTTTAGGGTTAGGGTTAGGGCTAGGTCTAGGGTTAGTTTTAGGTTTAGGTTTTGAGTGATGTTTAGACTTAGGGTTAGTGTTAGGGTCAGAGTCAGTGTGTCAGGGTTTGTTTTAGGGTTAGGGATAGGACTCGAATTAGGGCTAGGTTTAGGGCTAGGTGTAGGCTTAGGGTTTGGTTTATATGTTCAAGGTTAGGGTTAGGGCTAATGTAAAGGCAAGTGATAGGATTATGGTAAGGGATAGGTTTAGAACTAGAAATAGGACTAAGGAGAGAGTTAGAGTTAATCTTAGGCCTAGGGTTAGGATAGATTTAGGGCTAAATTTGGGCTAGGTTATGTCTAGCATTTGTATTATGGTTAGGCCTAGGTTTAGGCCTAGGTTTAGGTTTAGGAATAGGGTTAGATTCAGGGGAAGACATAGGGATAGAGTTAGTTTTAGGGCTAGGTCAAAGTTTAGAATTTGGTTAAGGCTAGTATTATGGTTTTGTTTAGTAATAGGCTAGGTTTAGGGCTAGGATGAGGGCTAGGGTTTATTTTAGGGTTATGGCAAGAATTAGGGCTAGGGCTAGTGTCAGGTCTAGGCTTACGTTATGGATAGATTGAGGGTTAGATTTATGGCTAGGTCTAGTGTAAGGGTTACATTTAGGTCTTGAATTAGCATTAGGGTTTGTTTAGGGTAATGATAGGTTTGAGTTTATGGATCATGTTAGATCTAGGGTAATTTATAGGGTTAGAGTTAGCAAAAAGGTTAGGGTTAGGCCTAGGGTTAGCCTTAAGGTTATGGTTGTGCTTACGATCATGGATAGTGTTAGGGCTAGGGTTATGGTTTGTATTTGGGCTAGAGTTAGTGTTAGGCCTACAGTTACGGTTAGGTTCACGTTTAGGATATGGTTTAGAGTTTGAGCTAGGGTTAGCTCTAGGGCAAGGGTTAGGTTTAGGGTTAGGTCTAGGTTGTAGTTACGATTAAGGTCAAGGTTAGTGTTAAGGTTAGGGCTAGGGTTATCATTAGGTTTAGGGTATTGTTTAGGGTTTGATGTCGTGTTACGGTTAGGGTTAGGGTTAGGTTTTGGCTTAAGGTTAGGATTAGGGATAGGCTTATGTTTAGGTTTAGGGTAATGGTTAGGGTTTGAGCAGGTGTTAGCTCTATGGCAAGGTTTAGGTTTATGGTTATGTCTAGGGTTAGTGTTAGTGTAGATTTTGGGTAATGGCTAGGGTTATCATCGGGGTTAGGGTTAAGGTTAGGGTTATGGGTAGTGTTAGAACTAGGGTTAGGGCTACGGTTATTATTTAGGTTAGGGTTAGAGTTAGGGTAATAAGTAGGCTTAGAGCTAGGTTAGGGATAGCATTAAGGTTAGGATTAGGGCTAGGGTTAAGGTTAGGTTTAGTTTTAGGCCATGGGTTAGTATTAGGGAATGGTTAAGTTTAAGGGTTAGGGATTGAGCTAGTGTTTGGAATAGGATGAGGATTAGGGTTAGAGTCAGTGTAAGGGTTAGAGCAAAGGTTAGCATTAGGGTTAGGGTTAGGGTTAGGGTAATGGATAGAGTTAGAGGTTGGTTTTGGCCTATGGTGATGGCTAGTTTCAGGGTTAGTGATATGGCTAGGTCTAGTGTTAGGTTATGTTTTTTGTTAGGATAAGTTTTACAGCTAGGGTTTGTGTTAGGGTAAGGGTCATGGTTCAGTATAATGTTAAGTTTATTGTTAGGGCCAGCGTTAGGTCTACGGTTTGGTCTAGGGGTAGGGTTAGTGTTTGGGTTAACTTAAGGGTCATTATTAGGGCTAGGACTAAGTTTTTGTTTAGGGCTAGGCCTCGAGTTATCACTAGATAAAGGATTAAGTGTAGGTCTGGGTCTAGTGTTATGGTGAGGTTTAGTTATAGGGTTACAGGTAGTGCCAATGTTAGGGGTCGGTTTAGGGTTAGGGTCAGGTTTAGACCTATGGTTAGTGTTAGGGTCAGAATAAGGGTCAGGGTTCGGGTTAGGGTTTGGGATAGAGATAGAGCTAGATTGAGGATTAGGGTTAGAACTAGTAATAGAATTAGGTTTTGGTTAGGCTAAGAATTAGGTTTAGAACCAGGGTAGCTTTAGGGTTAGAGTTTGGCTTATGGTAAGGGATAGTGTTAGCGCTAGTGTTAGGGCTAAGGTTAGGATTTGGGTTAGGGATAGGTTTATGTTTAGGGTTAGGGTTAAAGCTAGGGTTAAAGCTTGGATTGGGGCTAGGCTAGGTTTTGTGTTAGCTTTAGGGCTATGGCTAATGTAAGAACTAGGGTTACAATTAGGGCTAGTTTTAGGGTTATGTTTCATCTAGGTTTAGTTTTTTGTTAGGATTAGGGTTAGGGTTATGTTTAGGGTAATGGATAGGTTAGGGTTAGTGAATGTGTTAGGGTTAGGCCGAGGGCTAGCATTATGGTTAGGATTAGGGTTAGGGTTAGGGTAATGGATAGGTTTAGAGCTAAGGTTAGGGCTAGGGTTATGGTTAGTGTTAGTGTTAGGGTTAGTGTTAGGTTTAGGGTTATTGCAAGGATTAAAGTTAGGGTTAGGTTTAGGGTACGGGTTAGGACTTGGTTTAGGTTTAGTGTTAGGGTTAAAGCTAAGGTTGGGGATCGCATTAGGGCTAGATTTTGGGTTAAATTAGGGCTAGTGTTAGGGATACAGCTAATGTAAGAACTAGGGTTATGATAAAGGCTAATTTTAGGGTTACGGTTAGGGCTAAGTCTAGTTTTATGGTTAGGTTTAAGTTCACGGTGATGTTGTGAGGTAGGATTAGTGTTAGCTTCAGAGTCAGGGTCAGGATTAGTTTTAGTGTAGGTAATAGGACTCTAATTAGGGGTAGGCTTAGGGCTAGATGTAGGGTTAGGATTTGGTTTAGGTTAAGGGTTAGGGTTAGTTCTATGGCTCTTTTTGTTTTAGGGCTAAGGCTAAAGTTAAGGTTAGTTTTACGATTAATGTTAGTGTTATTGATAGTGATATGGTGAGTATAGGCTTAGGGGTACTTTTAGAGTTATGGTTAATTCTAGGGATAGGGCTATGGCTTGGTTTAGGGCTAAGGTTAGGTCTAGTGTTTGGGTTATGGTAAGGGATAAGGTTAGAACTAAGAATTGAGCTAGGGCGATAGTTAAAGTTAGTCTTAAGGTTAGGGTTAGTGTTAAGTTAAGGCCTAAATTAGGGCTAGGAATATGTCTAGGATTGGTGTTAGGGTTAGGCCTAGGGTTAGGGCTTTGTTTAAGATTAGGTTTAGGGTTAGGTTTAGGGGAAGGGATGGGGTTATAGCTACGTTTAGGGCTAAGGAAATGATTAGAATTAGGTTTAGGTCTAGGGTTAGGTTTGTGTTAGAATTAAGGCTAGATTTGGGTTAGGATGAGGGCTAGGGTTTGTGTTAGGGTTAGGGCAAGTTTTAGGGATAGGGATAATGTCAGGTTTAGGGTTACATCTAGGGATAGTTATAGGGTTAGGTTCACAGCTAGGTCTAATGTTAGGCTCAGGGTACTGCCCATGTTAAGTGTAAGGTGTATTTTTTGAGTCAGAGTCAGGTTTCGGGTTTGTGTTATGTTAATTATTAGGGTTAAGGCTCATATTAGCATTATGGTTAGAATTAGGGTTAGATTTATGGATAGGTTTGGGTTTAGGATTCAGGTTAAGATTAGGGTAATTGGTGGTATTAGGGTTGGTGATAGGGTTAGGTTAAGGCCTAGCATTAGCATTTGGGTTAAGGATATTGTTAGGGTAATGAATAGCATTAGAGCTAGGGTTAGGGCTAGGGTTTAGAATAGTATTAGGGCTAGAGTTAGGGTTAGGGTTTGGGCTAGGGTTAGGGTTTGGGTTAGGTTTTGGGTACAGGTTAGGTTTTGAGCTAGGTTTAGTGCTATGGTGAGGGTTAGGTTTAGGATTATGTCTAGGGTTCAATTTGCGGTTAAGTTTAGGGTTAGTGTTAGGGTTAGGGATAAGGTTATCTTTAGAGTTAGTTTCATGGACAGGGTTAGATGTCAGGTTAGGGTTAGCAGTAGCTTTAGGTTTAGGGTTAGTGTTAAGGTTAGGACTAAGATTATCATTTGAGTTAGGGTAATGGATAGGGTTAGATGTCAGGTTAGGGTAAGGGAAAGTTTTAGGTTTAGGGTTAGTGTTAGGGTTTGGGTTAGTGTTAGTGTTAGAGTTAGGGTTAGGGTTTTGTCTAGTGTTAAGGCTACGATGAGGGTTAGGTTTAGGGTTAGGTCTATGATTAGGTTTACAATTAGGATTAGAGCTAGGGTTATCATTAGGGTTAAGGTTCCGTTTAGGGTAATGGATAATTTTAGAGATACTATTAGGGCTAGTGTTAACATTATGATTAGGGCTAGGATTAAGCATTAGGTTTAGGGATAGGGTTAGGGTTATGTTTAGGGTTCGGTTTGGGGTTTTATCTAGGGTTAAGTCTAAGGCGAGGGTTAGGGTTAGCATGAGGGTTAGGCTTAAGGTAAGGAATAAGATTAGGTTAGGGTTAGGGTTTTACTTTGGGCTAGATTTAGGCCTAGGATTAGGGCTAGGTTTTGTGTTAGGTTTAGAGCTAGTTTTAGTGCTATGGTAATGTAAGGGTTATGTTTACGGTTATGGCTAGGTCTAATGTTAGGTTTAGGTTTCGGTTAGGGTCAGTTTTATAGCTAGTGTTAGTGTTAGTGTCAGGGTCTGTGTTTGGATCAGGGTTAGGTTTAGGGCTAGAGCCCGAATTAGGATTGGTTAGGTCTAAAGGTAAGGTTAGTGTTTGGCTTAGGTTTAGGGTTATCATTAGAGCTAGGGCTAGTTTTTTGTTTAGGTCTTGGTTAAAGATATGCCTAGATGGCAGCGGCCGAGCAGCCGACCCGGGAGGACAGAGAGGAGGAAGAGGATGAGGCAGTAAGCACTCTGTCGGAAGCCTGCACCGCAGTCGCAGTGATGGCAGGAGTAGTTTGTTCTAGTTGAATTATCGGGAATCATCGATTCAGACTTCCTCTCAAAATGTGAGAATAAATGCAAGATTTTGGGAATCGACACTGAAAGGCCCATTATGCAATTGGATAGCTATGTCTTTGCTGGGGAATATGAAGATACTCTTGGAACATGTGTTATATTTGAAGAAAATGCTGAACATGTGGATGCAGAAGGCAATAATAAAACACTGCTAAAATACAAATGCCATACAATGAAGAAACTCAGCATGACAAGAACTCTTCTGACAGAGAAGAAGGAAGGAGAAGAAAACATAGGTGGAGTAGAATGGCTACAAATGAAGGATAATGATTTCTCCTACAGACCTAACATGATTTGTAGCTTCCTACATGAAAATGAAGATGAAGGTGTAGCTGCAGCCTCAGATAAACCTTTGGAATTGGAAGAGCGGGAGAGTCAAATGAAAGACAGTTCAAACCTGATCTATGAACAGGAGAAATCACTGCATTTGGAAACAGAGGAGTCAAGTCCTCTTGTTGATATCCCTTCTTCTGAGATGGAAGGTTCTGTTTTTACGGAAACTCAAGGTGCTCCCTTGGAAATCACTCCTAGATGAAATGATTTTCATATTGTTTTTGTTGGCCATACATTTCCAGTTATAGCACAATTTTAATATACCATAATCATTCAGGACCAGACATTAATTAAATTTTTTAAGTATGGTTTAAAAAAAAAAAAAAAAAAAAAAAAAAAAGATATGCCTAGATTTATGATTAGGTTTAATCTAGGGCTAGTGTTAGGGTTAGGTTTAGATATAGGGTTATGGGTAGGGCTAGTGTTAGGGTTTGGTTTAAGTTCAGGATCAGAATAAGGGTCAGGGTTAGGGTTAGAATTTGGGTTATGGTTATAACAAGAATGAGGGCTAAGGTTAGGACTAGTAATAGCGTTATGGTTTGGGTTAGACTAAGGATTAGTTTTAGGACTAGGGTTAGCATTATGTTTGGGGTTAGGCTAGGGTAAAGTATAAAGTTAGAGCCAGGGTTAGAGCTAGGTTTCGGGGTAGGGTTGGGGCTATGTTAGGGTTAGGGTTAAGGTGAAAGCTGGGGTGAGGTATCAGAATTGGACTAGGTTTGGTTAGCATTAGGTTTAAGGTTATGGCTAATGTATGATCTAGGGTTATGATTAGAACTAGTTTTATAATTAGGGTTAGGACCAAGTCTAGTGTTAGGTTAAGGTTTAGGTTTAGGGTGATGTTTATAGGTAGGATTAGTGTTAATGTCAGAGACAGGTTTAGGAGTAGTTTTAGGGTTAAGATTAGGACTCAAATTAGGGCTAGGCTTAGGCCTAGATGTAAGGTTAGGGTTTGGTTTAGGTAAAAGTTTAGGGTTAGTGTTATGGCTCAGTTTTGTTTTAGGGCTAAGCCTATGGTTAGGTCTAGTTTAAGGATTAGCATTAGGGTTAGGGCTAATGTTAGGTTTAGGTTGTTTATAGAATTAGGGTTAGATCTAGAGTTAGGTTTAGATCTAGGATTAGGGCAAGGTGTAAGTTTAGGACTAGGGTTATTCTAGGATATGGCTAGGAATAAGGTTATGGTAAGTTATAGGGTTAGAATTAAGGATAGGGCTAGGGAGATTGTTATAGTTAGTCTTAAAGCTAGGATTAGTGTTAGGTTTAGGATTAGGGCTAGGATTAATGTTAGGGTTCATCTTAGGGTTAAGGTTAGGGCTAGGTTTAGTGTTAGGGTTAGGGTTTGGATTAGGTTTAGGGTAAGCAATGGGGTTATAACTAGGTTAGGGTTATGGAAAGGTTTAGAATTAGGGTTAGGGTTATGATTAAGGCTAGGTTTTGGGATAGGGTGAGAGCTAGTGTTTTTGTTTGGGTTAGGGCTAGGATTAGGCTAGGCTAATGTCAGGTCTAGGGTTACAGTTAGAGATAGGTTTCGGTTTATGTTTATGATTAGGTCTAGTGTAAGGGTTAGATTTAGGGTAATGGTCAAGTTTACAGCTATGTGTATTATTTGGGTCAGTGTTTGGCTTAAGGTTTGGTTTAGGTTAAGGTTTAGGTTTAGTGCTTGAATTGGCATTAGGGTTAGAGTTAGGGTTAGGGTAATGAATAGGCTTAGGATTAGGGTTCAGGTTATTTTTAGGGCAATGGATAGGTTTAGGGATTGTGATAGGGTTAGGGTTAAGTCTAGGGTTACCATTAGGATTAGGATTATGGTTAGACTAATGGATAGAATTAGAGCTAGATTTAGGGCTAGGGTTATCATTGGGATTAGGACTAGGATTAGGGTAGTTGATATAATTAGAGCTATGGTTAGGGCTATAGTTAATGTTAGGATTAGGGCTAGTGTTAGGTTTGGTTTTGGGATAGGGCTAGGGTTATGTTAAGGGTAAAGGTTAGGCTTTGAGCTAGGGTTAGGTCTAAAGCGAGGCTTAGGCTTAGGGTTAGGGCTAGGGTTAGGTTTAGGGTTACACTTAGGGCTATGTTCAGGCCTAAAATTAGGGCTAGGTTTTGTGTCAGTTTAGGTCTAGTGTTAGGGCCATGGGTAATGTAAGAGCTAGGGTTATGATTAGGGCTAGTTTTAGGGTTAGGGTTATGGCTAGGTGTAGTGTTATGATTAGGTTTTGGGTAAGGGTGAGCTTTGGAGATAGGATTATGTTAGGGTCGGGGCAGTGTTCGGGTTAGTGTTATTGTTGGAATTAGTGCCAGAATTATGACTAGGGTTAGGTCTAGGGGTAGGGTTAGTGTTTGGGTTAGGTTAAGGGTTATTGTTAGAGCTAGGGATAGGTTGGTGTTCATGTCTAGGGCTAGAGATATGAATAGATTTAGGATTAGGTTTAAGTCTAGGGCTAGTGTTAGGTTTAGGTTTAAGTATATGATTACCGGTAGGGATAAAGATAGGGTTCAGTTTTGGGTTAGGGTCAGGTTAATACCTGCGGTTAGGTTTAGGGTCAGAATAAGTGTCATGGTTAGTGTTTGGGTTTATGTTAGGGTTAGAGCTATAACAAATGGTAGGGTTAGAACTAGTAATAGGGTTAGGGTTTGGGTTAGGTTCTGGATTAGGGTTAAAACTAGGGCAAGGTTTTGGTCTAGGTTGGGGCTAGTGTTAGGCCTAAAACTAATGTATAAACGAGGATTATGATTAGGACTACTTTTTGTGTAAGTGTTACGGCTAGATCAAATGTTAGGGCTAAGGTTACCATTAGCGTGATGTTTAGAGCTAGGGTTACTGTTAGGGTCAGGGTCAGTGTTCAGGTTATAGTTAGGGTTAGGGTTAAACCCAATATTATCACTAGAGTTAGGTCTAGGTGTAGTGTTAGTTTTTGTGTTAGGTTAAGGTTTATCATTAGGGCTAGGTTTTGTTTAGGTCTAGGGCTAGAGATATGGCTAGAATTAGGATTAGATTTAGGTCTAGGACTAGTGTTAGAGTTAGGTTTATGTATAGGTTTATTTCTAGTGCTAGTGTTATGGTTCGGTTTATGGTTAGGGTCAGTTTTAGACCTTTAGGGTCAGAATACATGTCAGGGTTAGGTTTAGTGTTTGGGGTTATGGTTAGAGCTACAATGAGGGCTAGGGTTAGGACTAGTAATACGGTGAGGGTTTGGGTTAGGCTAAGCATTAGAGTTAGGCCTAGGGTTAACATTAGGGTTAGTGTTAGCTTAGTGTAAGGGATAGGATTAGAGCTAGGATTAGGACTATGTTTATGGTTAGTGTTAGGGCTAGTGTTAGGTTTCAGTTTAGGGTTAAAGCTAGGGTTAGGTCTTGCATTAAGGCTAGGTTTTGGTTAGAGTTAGGGCTAGTTTTAGCGTTATGGCCAATGTATGGACTAGGGTTATGATTTCGGCTATTTATAGGATTAGTGTTAGGACTAGGTCTAGTGGTAGAGTTAGGTATAACGTTTAGAGCTAGGGTTATTGTTAGGGTCAAATTCAAGGTCAGAGTAGTTTTAGCGTTAGGGTTTGGCCTTGAATTAGGGCTAAAGTTAGGGCTAGGAGTAGGGTTAGTTTTCGGTTTAGGTTAAGTTTTAAAGTTAAGGCTATGACCTGGTTTTGTTTTAGGGCTAGGGATATGGTTAGGGCTAGTTTTAGGCTTAGCATTAGGTTTAGGGCTACTGTTAGGTTTAGGTTTAGGCTTAGGGTTAAAGTTAGATTTTGATTTAGGATGAAATCTAGGGTTTAGTTCTAGGGCTAAGTATAGGGCTACTATTAGGTTTTGGTTTTTGGCTAGGATTAGGGTTATGGTAAGGGATAGGTTTAGAACTAGGAATAAGGCTAGGGTGAGAGGGAGAGTTAGTGTTGTGGCTAAGCTTAGTGTTTGGTTAGGTAAAGGGCTTAATTAGGGCTAGTAATAGTGCTAGGTTTATAGTTATGTTTAGGCCTAGTCTTAGTTTTAGGCTCAGGGTTAGGTTTCGTGTAAACGATGGGGTTAGAGGTAGGGATAGGGCTAGGGTGAAGGTTAGAATTAGCGTTAGGGCTATGGGTTCATTAGAGTTATGATTATTAGGGCTAGGATGAGGGCTAGGGTTTGTGTTAGGGTTAGGAGTAGGATTAATGTTTTGTGAATGTCAGGTCTAAGGTTATGGTTAGAGATAGTTTTAGGGTTAGGTTTATGGCTGTGTTTAGTGTAAGTGTTAGGTTCAGGTAGGTGTCAAATTTAGAGCTAGGGGTATTATTAGGGTCAGGGTCAGGTTTAGAGTTTTTTTTAGGTTAGGGTTTAGGGATAGGGCTTGAATTAGCATTAAGGTTTGTGTTAGAGTAAAGATAGGGTTTGGTTTAGGGTTCAGGTTAGATTTAGCATAATGGATAGGGGTATGGTTAGGGATAGGGTTTCAATTACACCTAGAATTAGCATTATAATTATGGTTATGTTTTGGGTAATTGATAGGGTTAGAGCTAAATTTAGGTCTAGGGTTATGGATATGATTATGGCTAGGGTTAGGATTAGGGTTATGGATTTGTTTTGTGTTAAGTTTAGGGCTAGAATTACGACTAGGGAAAATGTCAGGTCTAGGATTATGGCTAGGGATAGTTTTAGGGTTAGGTTTATGGCTAGGTGTAGTATAAGGGTTAGGTTTAGGGGTACAGTCAGGATTAGAGCCAGGTATATTATCACAGGAAGGGGCAGAGTTAGAATTTGGGTTGGGTTAAGATTTAGGGTTAGGGCTTGAATTAGCATTAGGGTTAGAGTTAGGGTAATGATAGGGTTAGGTTTAGTGTTCAGGTTAGGTTTAGGTTAATGAAGTAGGTTAGGGATAAGTTTAGGGTTAGGCCTAGGGTTACCATAAGAGTTATGGTTATGGTTAGGGTAATGCATAGGGTTAGAGTTAGTGATAAGGCTAGGGTTATGGTTAGAATTCTGGCTAGGGTTATGGTAAAATTTAGGGCTATGTTCTGCTTTAGGGTTAGGTTTAGGGTTAGGTTTAAAGCTAGGGTTAAGGCTCAGATTAGGTCTTGGTTTTGGGTTTGGTTAGGGCTAGGATTAGGGCTATGGTAATGTATGAACTAGTATTGCAATTAGTTCTAGTTTTGGGGTTAGGGTTAGGGCTAGGTCTAGTGTTATGGTTAGGTTTAGGGTAAGGGTGATGTTTAGAGCAAGGGTTATGTTAGGGTTGGTTTTAGAGTCAGGGTTAGT